GCACTACCGCTTGAGCTACATCCCCAGCCCCAGGCTTATCTGTTTTAATAAACTCTTTTTAAATTTCAAATGCTCTTGGGAGAGCTGTCAGTCATTCACAATTTAGTAAAATCTGTATTCAGACCGCCTTCCCCAAGTACTTAGGCTGAAGTCAGTCACAGTTCAGTAGCAGAATTTTAATGAGCAGAGGCAAGTGTTGACTGTTGAGAGAGAAGGTAGAGAAAGTGCAGCGCATATGGTGTGGGGAACAACACGCTAAACTGGAGAAGATTTGTAGAAGACTATCAAAGACCTCCCAATCAGGGTTACCGAACGGTTTTATATGGTTGGCCCTGGAGGGTAGTATTAAAAACAGAACCCAGCTTGCCACAGAGCAGTCAACAGTGCTCTGGTTGAACCCTCAGAGAAAGTGAGGAGATTCTGTTCCCTTTAACACTCCCCRACAACAGACAAGGCAGGAAACAGATGTGGCACTTACCTAGTTTGACCACAAAGTTGATAAATCTCTGGATGCAAAACTAGAAGGGAATAAACAAATCTATAATCAACATTAGTGAACTGTGAAAGCTGAAGGAGGTGGAAACTTACAACCCMTCAGGGAAAAAGGRAAACTGAGGACAATTTCCCTCATCTGTCAAGTTCCCCMGCCTGCTAAAAGTAAGCCTGCCAAAAGTATCTGACAAACTGCTCCCAAGATGTGGCCCTGCTAAACCCTATAAAACTCAGATCCTTGTAGCCAGTTGCCATTTTCCCCTTGAAAATGTGCCCCTCTGTTGCTTAATAAAGCATCCCTGGTCAGTTGAGGTGTGCCTCCATTTCTTTTTCTTTTTGTATTCTCTTTCATTTCCTTCCAAAAACAACTTAAAGGAATTTAGCAAATTATGGAAATTTTAAAAAAAGTGTGCACATCTAAGTTTTCTGAAGGCCTATCGTAGTTGGAAGAAACAGAGAYGATCCACCCAGGATAAGGTAGGATCTTTTCATGCATACAAACTTTATAGAATAGGCCCATGCAGAAAAAAGTGAAAACTGTAGAATGTTACAGGTGGTAAGATGGGAATGCATCCCTTATCCACCAGTTTATGAGGAAAACTTAGCAGCTAGTGTAGTGTTTTTTAAGTCGTGGTACACATACCTCTGAGTACCTTCAAGATAACCAAGGGGTGCTTGGACAAGGCTGTCTTGTTACAGAAAGCTCAGTCCTTGCAACTGATGCCARTCCAATAACAAGGACTCGGTTTTGAGAAAAAGGAAAAGAGTTTTATTGCTTTGCTAACAAAGGGGAAGCATAGGAGATTACTGTCCCAGAGRTTATGATTCTGCCCATCCAGGGGAACAGGGGKTTTTTWAAGTGATTCAAAGGCTGCATTCTGCAAGTTCTCTGTTGCAGTTGTAATTCACTTGTTAATTTGGGAGACATAATTTCTGAGATCTTCTGTGCCATCCCCAAAGTCTGAATTACTTTTTTTCTTGTGGTGGTTGTATGTTCAAGGACAGACAACTCTGGAAGAAAGGTAATCCTGTTCTYCGGGATTAGGGAGAGGRAGAGATTAGGGAGAAGGAGGGAGAGAGGAAGAGAAAGAATCATATCCTTTTAAAAATAAGTCACAGTGGCAGGGAAGCAAGGACTGTCTTCAAAGCATAAAGTGGACCACTACAATGGTTTTATGAGAATTAACTTCTAGTTATTCAACCTCTAGAAGTGCTGTATTCTAAAATAGATTAAGCCGGGCGCAGTGGCACACACCTGTTWTCCCAGTGGCTTGGGAGGCCGAGACAGGAGGATCAAAAGTTCAAGGCCAGCTCTGGCAATTTAGTGAGACTCTGTCTCAAAATAAAAAATAAAAAGAGCTAGGGAAGTAGTCCCCTCCCCCCATCAAAAAAAGTATTGATATTGATATTAATTCTTCTGAYTAATGGATAATGTTTTCTTGAGGATCAGAGGGTTTTCCTTTTCCTTTTTTTAAGCAGTTCTTGGGGACTAAACCCAGGGCTTCATGCATGCTTGGCAAATGCTCTACTATTGAATTACATCCCCCGCAGTCCTTTTGATTTTTAAATTTGCTACAGGGTCTCACTAAATTGCTGAAGTTAGCCTCAAACTTGTGAACCTCCTGCCTTACCCTTCCATGTAGCTGGGATTACAGATCACCATGTCCGCCTATATCTCATTCTCTGAAAGGGCTGCACATAATTCCATTGCTTAAATTGGGTATATTAAGTGTAAGTGTAAGCTCTTGGAGGGCTATAACCAGCCTTATTGAAATTCTGCATCTGGCATAAATCATCGAAATGCTAGCTCAGTCCCTGGCATATGAGTAAACGAGTAAATTTACCCCATCACACTTGCCTTCAGTAAGAAGCAGAGAATGTGCTAAACTGAATTCCTACTAACACTGCTTTTTCTTTCTTTTTGTACAGGGTATTGACTCCAGGGGTGCTGAGCCACATCCCCAGCCACCCCCCTTTTAAATTTTTTTTTT